TGGATGAGGATTTCCAGACAGTTCCGGCACAAATTCCAGATCCATTGGAGGATAGCGAAGGTCCAAGGTGTCAGAAGTGTGACACATCAGTGGAAGCTGACCAAATGGTCTTGAAGCACTTGACAAAAGGCCCACGGAACAAGGTTCTGTGCAAAAGCTGCCACGCCGTGCAAACAATGATGGCTAGATCATTTGATGGCATGCCAGCCGGATGGGACACGCTCTCCCACGAGGAAAGCGTCAACTTCTACAAGGCCATGTTGGAGAAGAAAGGCGATGGTCCTTTGCGTTTTCAGCTTTTGCGCGTCGAGATGAAGGCCTGCCTTGTTCACCGTCACATGGAGGAGACGAAGCGAGGCTTCAACGGAGAGTTCCATCCCCTTGGCTATTGGCAGCAGCGTGGCTACGACGTGACCAAGATCGAGGCCCTTGCAGAGTCCATGGAGCATCCAGTGCTAGGCCGCACATATCGTGTGGACATATTTCACGTGTCCACCGACACCATCTTTCAGAAGGTCGAGGAGGCCCTCCAATTGGTTGACAAGGCTGCCAAGCGCAAGCGGATCCCCAAGGCCAAGGCCAAGTCCAACAAAAGAAACAAAGGCAATGAGCCAGAGGAGCCAGCCGAAGAGGTTCCTGTCGACCAGGACCTCGTGGATCTGGTAGATCTGGAGAGCGAAGACGAGGTGGAAGTCGTTGGTGGGAAAGGTTTGACTGAGAAGCAGCTTGCGGCTCTGAAGAAAAGGGAAGCTGCAAAAGCAGCAAAGAAGGCCAGTGCAGAGGCAGCAAAAAACACCAAGGTTGCCACCACTTTGGCTAGCAAGGCCCTGACATGCTTGCAGCCTGTGTTGGACAGGATGCAGAAGGCCAAGAAGGGTCTGAACGAGGGCGATGCTGATGCGGCAACCCTGGAGCAAATGGAGGAGAAGCTGAGCCTGGCTGAGACTGTGGTGTCACAGGCCCAAGACATCCTGAAGAAAGTCGGCTCTGGAAAAACAGTTGCCTTGTCTGAGATTGAAATCACTTCGGACAAGGCATTGGCTGCCGAGATCAAGTCCATGAACAACGTGATCAAGTCCATCAACTTGGCAAAGCGGGCAGCCAAGAACGGGTGACCATGACTGATTGCTTTGAGATAGGGGTTCTTGCTTCGGTGACCTGGCATGTCCCAGATCACGCAAGGTGTCTAATTACAATGAAGCCTGTGCTCAAACGGAGGGGTAAAAGAGTGGGAATACAAATGCGTGTAGATTCTAGTGCGCCACCTTCTCTCTCTTGAACTGTGGCAAGTCACATTTGTATTCTATGGAAGTTCAAGTCTTGCAGATTTGTCAACCGTTTGGCGGTCGCCCGCCGAATAGTTCATGGTTTCCATATATTCATATACTATATGTTTTGTGTTTGTCAAACGTTTGGCGGTCGCCCGCCGAATATAGTTCATGGTCTCCATATATTCATATACTATAGGTTTGGTTCAAAACATCAGGTGCCCGTGCAGTTCTGTCCTTTTAGGTATCATGCTCCCTGTCGTCTCCATGCATGACACTACAGTGGAAACTTCAGTGGTGCAGGATCTGGCAAATGGATTTTCGGCACTGTACCAATATGATAAGGAGCAACTGGGTTACGTGGCCAACTTTGAGCTCGAGAACTTGAAGGAAACCTGTGTATGGCTTGTCGATTTCTACACGGACAGTTGGTCGAAAGCAGAACTTCTGAGCAAGGCTATTTTGTGTCTAGCCTGTTTGCGGTGCCATTTCGAATTTGGTGTGGCCTTGGATGAGGATGCCTACTCAGGCTATGTGAAATTTGGAAACCCACCAGGGCGCAGCATACAACAGAAGATTGCAGCATATTCCCAAGCACATGGTCGCTGTGTTGCCCTGAAGCGAAGTGAGGTGAGCCAATGCGTGGGCTACTTGGGGACGGTGCAGCAATTCTTCAGGGTGCACGAGAACAAGGCATTCTTCGATGTGCTATGGCCTGTTCAACAACTACTCTCTGAGGTGAGGGCCCACTTATAGGATTAATTAACTCTGTGGTGCGCTAAGTGAAAAACAAGGTGGTTGCCCGCCGTGTTTGTCTATCCAATCAGTGATGTTGTATTATCTACTTAGGATGGACCAACTGTGGGGTGTGTTCAGGTGTAAAGGTACATATAAGTAAGTGCTCACGTACTACATGTCTTTTGCATATAGTGCCCACATAGCAGGCGGTAGCCCGCCATTTTTTTGGAATTCAAAGGCTGCAACCTATATCAGGTTGGCTCTGTCCAGCAAACAACGAACCCATGTAATCCACGATTGTTTTCTTAGGTCGCACTTTCCAACAAAATCCAACAAATGCATAGACAAAACAAATGCATAAACAAAACAAATTCATAGACAGGACAGGACAGCACACTACATGGAGAGCGCGCCAAAGAAACAAAAAGTCTCTCAGCTCTTGGCGCACCAAAGCTCTCTAAGCGCCTGGAAAGCCAAGCTAGTGCTAAACAATCGTGACCCTCAAGTTCCTCAAAGCGGCGCCTGGAAAAGACAAAGCCAGCAAATCCTTGAGCCAGCTCGGCGCTGCTATTCAGAGTTGGAAGTACCAGCCCACGACGGAGGTCCCAGTATACGATTCTGGTGCGCAAATGTAGAGCCGCTGTTAGACTACGTTGCTAGATCTGCCGATTTTTACCTCCAACGTTTAGGTGCGCTTGAGGACAAAATCCATCCAGTGGTAGTTGTCGAGGACGAGGCGACGGGCGGCAACGTTTTGTCCACCTCAAGCAGCAAGAAGATGCACTTGTGGTACTTCACAATTCAAAGTCTAGGTGATGTCGGCCGCGCCGACGCGTGGTTCCCGTTGGCCTGCATCCCAAGCCGCGATGTTAGCTTGGTCAGTGGATCCACGAGTGAAGTGGGCGCCGCAGTGCTGAGGCATTTAGCAAGCCAGAACTTGTCTATGGGCGTTCAGGTCTGTAACATCCGTCTTCGTTTGGAAGTCAAAGCCTTTCTAGGCGACTACGAAGCAATCAGGGCTCTGCTTAGCGCCAAAGGCGCGGCTGGGCTCAGACCATGCGCACTTTGCAAGAATATTCTCAGCAAACAGCATGGAACAAAGGTCATGAACCTGGATGAATACTTTCTTCCTATTTCGGAAGATGACCCAAGCAAGTTCGACTTACTAAAGGCAGACGAGCTCATTGGGATGTATCGGCAATCGTTACGAGAAGCAGCTGCTCACAGCAAAGACCAACACAAGGAACTTGAAACCTGTTTGGGCTTTAGTTTGCAAAATGCTGGACTTTTGACATGCCCAACTGCAAGCGCAATGGTCTGTGTTGGCAACATCATGTATGACAGCCTGCACCAATACTTTGCCAATGGCATTTGTTCTTCGGAGATGATAGCTTTCCAAGAGCTATTCCAAAAGGCGACAGGTTTCAGTCTGGCCACTTTACAAGAGAGTGTGCGCGAAGTGGCTTGGGTCTGCAGAGAGAGATCGTTCCGGTCTCCAAGCTCTCGCTCATGGCTCTTCAACGCAACCTATTGGAGAGGAGACCTATACAAGGGCAGTGCCTCTCAGACGTACTTTGCTTTGCCTCTCCTGGTTCATTACGCAAACCTTCTAACCAATGTCGAAGAGCTGCCAGCTCTGGAATCACTCAACGCATTGTACGAAGCCGTTCTGGAATTGAAGGAGTGGCGGCGAGGTCTTGGGGATTGCGCCCGGCTGGACCATGCCCAAAGAAAGCACCAGCGTGCTTTCATGAGGCATTACGAGGGACAAGAAAGACCCAAGCATCACTTTAGGCTTCACCTCCCACAGCAATATGCCTGCCTCGGATACGCTGATTGCTGGCCCTGCGAGTCCAGACACAAAGCTTACAAAGCTTGCCTTGCTGACGATATGGCTGGTTTGTTTGAAGCTCGTTCTGGAAAGTCGAGCAAGCACATTCTACCGAGGCTGCTCCATCGCCAAGCGTGGAATATGCAGGAACATCCATGGACCAACCGACTTGCAGGAAACATTCACAGCCCTCAGAAAGTCGAAGAGGCTACAGGTTTGAAACGTGTGCGCGTCAGCAATGCTTTCCATCTACAACAAATGTTGTTGCAGTCGGATGACATCATTTTCTTTGATGCGCGCGCAGCTTGGGTTCATCTCTTTGCTGAGGAACAGGACACTGTATTTTGCATCTTGGAACCACTGCAAGAAACTGCATCCAGCACTGTGTTCACTCGGTCTTTCGTTCGCACAGACCGCAGAGAGTCTATCAACATGAAAGATTTGCTGACGCTCCGTCAGCCTGTTTGGTGGCATGTGGACGCGCTCGCTGTTTTGTGTTTGGTGTGACAAAGCGCGTGCTCTTTATGCAGCGGTAGCCCGCTGGATTGTCACACATGAACGTAGACTTTCATAAAAACAAAACGAAACAGTCTTCCGTTCTTGTCACACTTTGAAACACATGATCATCGGTATAGACATTTGTCACAACCATGTTGGCGGTCGCCCGCCCAAAGTTTCACATATATTCATGCGAGTGTGCGTCTTAAACATGTGGTCACAATCAACATTGATATCGCGCGCATCGACTAGAACAAATGGCGAGGACAACCTCGCTAAAAAAAAAAGACCGAGGACCACCTCGAAGAAAAAGAACAACAAACCAAATCTATTGTAACCCATGCTAGAAAATTGCGCGCGTCTATGTGGGCTGTGGGGCCTGGAAATGTGTTCTTCCATAGCAAAAAAACTACAAATACCAGTTCTGGAGCCAACAATTACAGGTGTTTTGAAAACAATTGAAAACCATTTTTGCGTAGCAACTAACAAGTTACAGAAGTTATAACTTACTTACAACTTAGTTATAACTTCCTAATACCTAAGTCCAATAACTTGCTTATAACTCATTTATAACTCTGGTAACATAGTTATAACTTCTTTAAGTTGAGGGGCCCATCACTGCACTCAATCTCCATCTCCATCTCCGTCCCCGCTGCGCACTCCGCCTGTGGGATCTCCACCACCGCCGGCACCTCCACGTCGCCGTCCTCCGCGTCTTCGAGGCCGGCGAAGCCCTCGGCGAAGCCGCCGAACTCCCGCGCCACGTAGCCTCCGAACGCGCCACGTGCGGAGCGTGCGGAGGTTGGTGCTTCATGGCGACAGAATTGGCGTTCGTTCGCCGATCGAGACGTCCCGTTCGAAGCAAATCTCGAGACAACAGAATAGCGAGAATAGTCCATCGAGATGCAGTGATGTGCTGGAAGTCAGAGATTTAAGTTATTAGATCTGAGAGTTGGCCAAATATATGTCAATGTGAACATATATGTGAAAATAGCATCCGACAACTTCCAGCATCACCCAACCCTATCACCACCACGCCAACACTGATCCCATCGCTTGGCTCGCTTGGCACCCACACCACACACCGCACCGAGCCGCTCGACGACTGTAGGGACTAGTGCCGAGCATCACGGCGGCAAGAAGTACTTCGGAGTTTCCGTATGGAAGAAGGAAGGAACAGAAAAAGAGCATCGCAAATAAGGCCTAGAAAACATTGTCAAGAACATAGACGAGAAAAAAGAAGCACACAAAGGATCAAACATATCGAAAAGGAACATATTCTATACCAAACTATAA